AGCCAGCTTGTTGGAACTGCTTGCGTTGGGTTTTTTGGCTATACCTGAAACTAGATTGGTAGAGCTGAGACTGAGAGATTTTTCCAGAAATAGCACCTTTAAAAAAAAAATTACAATACTAGCACCCTTCCAAAAATATTTACAAAACTAGCACCCTTTTTTATGGATCGCACCCTTGAGGTGCGTTTTATATGTAAACCGCACCTGGAGGGTGCGTTCAATTTTGGTGGGGCTAAAACGCATTTTGGCCATGCGTTTTTAGTTATGGCCTACATAAAACGCATGGCCGAGGTGCGGTTTAGGCCTGACCTAGGCAAACCGCACCTTAGAGATGCGTTTTGTTTCTCCAAAACCAAACCGCACCTCTAAGGTGCGTTTTAACTATGTAGACCGCACCCCCCAAGTGCGGTCTGTGTGTCAATAATTTCCCGACACACGACAACCATGCAGAGAATTATGGACGTAGGGCTGCATGGCAGACTAAAACCGCACCCTAGAGGTGCGGTTTTCCTCATTTTTTCCCCTATATAAGACTGCCCGGAAAACCTATACTCTTCACACCTCTCATTCTCTCTTTTCATTTTTCTGTTGTATCTCTATATTTATTTAGTGTTTTTGCCATTAACATTAACTCGTAAGTTTATTTTGTGTTACTTTTTATTGTTATTTGTGATTTGTGATTTTTATGATATTAACTGAACTACGGTTTTTTTGTGTGCAGATGGCATTCCGTCAGTTCACGCTTGGCTTACGGTGGAATGGTTACACGGAAGAGACCGGAAAGGGGGCCATCTACGTCGGTGGCAATTTTCAGAAAATAACGGTCGGTACCAGACCGAAGTTTGAAGACCTCCATCAAATATGCACTGACGTTACTTGCATGGATGGCACGAGAAGAGTAGATCGTATGGTGTACCGATATCCAAACAGAGAAAGTGGGTCATTGTGGCATGAGGAATATACCATAACCACTCAAGATGACGTCGATTCCATGCTCGATTTCTTGAGGACCAACAAATTGGCCAAAGCCGAGATGTTCGTTTACACCGAGCCAGCCGTTGGTGTTGGAGGTCATTCTGGACACGGTCAAACATCTGGTATCCATGGTGGAGGTGAATTATATGGCGATCATCCCTACCAAAGTTACCATGATCCTCATTCCTATTTTCAGTACCAAGATGGAGGGCAAGGTGCAGGCCATCATCAATCTTTCTCGTCATATGAAGAAGAAGTTCAACTGGACGTCCCCAACCAAGCCCAGTACAACTTCCAACTAGGCAGCGGTAGTTTTCACAACTACCATTATGGAGCTGATGAAGGTGCCTTTCATGAGCTGGATCAGATGGAGGTTGCCACACCAGCACCAGTCAGCGACCCCTCTAATGAAGAAGGAGAGAACAACGTCAGTGCAGACAGCTCAGACCCTCTTGAAGGTGCTAATGATTCAGCACCAGATTCAGATTCAGATAATGATCATGATGTGGCTCCTGACCGTGTACCAGTCCCCTACTACAATCACATTCCAGACGACAATTGGATGGTCGACAGCGACATGGAGCCGCCAGAGGTCCCAATATGGGGCCCACTCACTGGATTTACGAAGGGCCAACAATTTGGCTCGAAGAAGGAGGTGCGGCACGCCCTTGAGACTGAAGCAATGACTCGACATTTTGAATGGCACACAACTCATTCCAACACCAAAAGGCTCATAGTCAGATGCCGTAATCATCACGAGGGGTGCAATGTTAGGATTCGGGCCATCAACAGCAAGAGACACGGCCACTGGGTCATATCCCGTGCGGTCAACACACACACATGTGTGTCATCCATAACTTCCCAAGGCCATCGACAGTTGAAATCCAGGGTGGTAGCTGCGGCTATCAAGCATCTGATTGAGGTTGAACCGGATCTGAAGGTGAAAGTCATAATCGCTGACATTGCAAGTCGTTATGGTTATATGATTAACTATAAGAAGGCGTGGCATGGAAAGCAGAAAGCTCTGGCCGCCGTCTTTGGTGATTGGGAAGAATCATATGCATTCCTTCCCAGGTTAATACTGGCATTGGAGGCGTCTAACCCTGGGACTGTGTTCTCCCCTCGATACCAAGATGAAGAGATACAACCCCCAGAGGCAGGTAACGAACGCCATTTTCGCAGACTGTTTTGGGCATTCAAGCCTTCTATTGATGGTTTTGGCTTTTGTATCCCTGTGATTACTATGGATGGTACATTCCATAAGCTTCACCTCTTAGGGGATGATCGATTGGCCAATCCCTGTCTGGACGTTGGGCCGTTGCAAGCCATGGCATATGCTCCCAAGCCCAAAATTGGACGATGAACATTGCGCCGCTGACCTCCCTCACGGCTTTTAGAGACGCATTGCACAAGTTGTGGTAGATCATAGCTAGGCAAGCGGATGCCCAACTATACTCCCCCATCTCCTCCCAACTACTGAAGATGATCCTAAGCCATCCACAACTAAGGAGATTGCTTGATTTCTTGGAGAAGAACACTCCTCCGATCATGCCTATGAGATAGACACGAGCATATCTCTCCTTCTCATCCTCCGGACTTTCCTCGGTAAGCGGATGACTCTCGTAATGATCTCTAAAATACTTCGTCAACCATGTAATTGAGACTTGGTGTTTCCTCATTGGTGGCATGCGATCGGTCGCATCAACGCAACCCTTCACCGGTACTTTCACTCCCAAATGACTGTGGATGAAATGCTGCCAACCGGGCATACCGTCACAATCCTCGGGGGGATGATCACTCACGCACACCGGTTTGCCGTCGATGGGCAGATGGGTTAGGATGGCGACATCCTTTAGCGTGATGGTGGCCTCTCCTTCTCTAAAGTTGAAACAATGGGTCTCCTTTCTCCATCTCTCGGCTAATGCGGTGATGAGTTGGCGATCGATTTGGATGCCGTTAAAATGCCTAATCGAGTCTAACCGTGCCCTTTTGAGAAATGGCAAGATAGCTGGGTGGAATGGGAGCACATTGGTGGTACCCCTGTAGCGGATTATTGTTTGTGCCTCCTAGCAAAAATGTACACGTTAATTATTATATATTAGTAAGGGTTTTTTTTCGTATAACTAAATTAATTAAATTAAATTATGCCACCTAAAACAGAATTTTATTATCATAAAAAGACATTTCATATTATCATAAAACAAACGTCCTAAATTAATTAACATAATAACATTGTCAATGAATAATAATTTAAAGAGGTACATACATATTATCGTAAAACAAACATACTAAATTAATTAACATAAATAACATTGTCAATGAATAATAATTAAAAGAGGTACATACATATTATCGTAAAACAAACATACTAAATTAATTAACATAAATAACATTGTTAATGAATAATAATTTAAAGAGGTACATACATATTATCGTAAAACAAACATACTAAATTAATTAACATAAATAACATTGTTAATGAATAATAATTTAAGTAGAAACATACATATTCAAATGTTTGGTAAATAATTTAATCGTATTAGTTGTTTTAAATAATTTAATCGAATACAAAGCAACACTCGTTAGACTCTTAGAAGAGGTATACATCTTCTTAGAAACGCAGTCTTTTTGACAGAAAAAGGGGGGATTCGAGGATCTCTTAATACCCGATTTTCCCAGGTAATGGGAGGATATGATAATCGCTTAAAACCCCATTTCCTTAGACGTGCATCTCTTTATAAAGAGTCGAAGTAAGTGGCGCTATGTATTCGATTAAATTATTGAAAACCACCAACACGATTAAAAAATAAACATAAATTTATTTTATATTACACTAGGCACATTAACAAAATAAAAGAAGGACAAATGGTGAAGAATTGTATGTACCGGGTGATCGTTCCAAACATCCCTTGACCGATGGTTGGGTTGGTCGTACAAGTCGGTTGGATCCACCGGTCCTTGGTCGAGATAATACCGTTGGTTGTATATATCGACGTCCTCCCCAACCTACGAGAAAATAACAACGAGGTTAGTACATAGATTAATTAAAAAACTTATAACAACAACAAAAATTAAACCAGAATAATGAGTACATACCGCTTGAAATTCATCAACATAAACTCCTTCTCCTTGCCACCAATCGGCCATTTTTTCGGCGTAATTCGGACAGAGCTTCGGCTCGGCTCGGCGGGTTTTTGAGAAAAAAACCTAAGAAATGTTTTCTGATGGCAGATCGGACTTAGCCGCAACCAACAGAATTTTATTTCCTAGGCTTTTGGGAGGGGAGGGTTTAGAGAGATTATATCTAGAGAGAGAAGGAAGAATGGGTTGTGGAGTGAAGAAATGAGAGGGGGAGGGGGGGTATTTATACCCAACAGACCGCACCCCTCAGGGGCGGTACGGTAATTTTACCCCTACCAAAAACGCATCTCCCCGATGCGATCTCCGCGTGAAAACGCATCTCTCCGATGCGATCTCCGCGTCCCGAGGCGTTGAACGCTCTGGAAACCAACGCTCCATTTTTCAAGGCCGATAAACGCACCTCGCCTGTGGGTTCTCCGATCCACCGCGCGGATTGCTGACGTGGCTGTGCTCCTGCCCGTTTGATCGCACCTCAATCGTGCGGACTGGAAGGCCGCTGGCCACCAAACGTTGAACGCATCTTGGGGATGCGTTTCATTTTCTGACTTCGCATAAATCGCATCTTAGGCGTGCGTTTTATGTGGGAAACGCATTCTTAGGCTGCGTTTTATTTATAAAACGCACCTCTAAGGTGCGTTCCATAAAAATAGGTGCTACTTTTGTAAATATTTTTGGAAGGGTGCTAGTATTGTAATTTTTTTTTTAAAGGTGCTATTATTGGAAAAATCTCTGAGACTGAGAGATAAACATAGAGCATCAGTTTTATCAAGTAGCTTGGGATTTGAAGGAATTAGCCATGGGGATGATCAAGGTCTTCTTCAAATTGTGTTGTATCAAGTAGCGTGGGATTTGATGCTTTTGTATGGGCTACTTCGTTCGTTGATGTTCAATTTATACTACAACAATGAAAGGGTGGTTTTGTAAATAACAGAGTTTAGAGGGGGTTCGTCACAACTTATATATCTTCGCTTTGTGCACACACAACTGTAACCTACAACGTGGTTTTGATCATGGCAATAGTACTTCCATGGTATCGTGAATTGATCTCTTCTTTCTTGCTCTTCGCCTAAAGACCTTGAAACTTTCTCCTCCATAAGTGAAGTGAAGGCTAACGAAAACTATACCGAAACTTAATTACAAAGCACACAAGAAGCATTCCATGCTAGCACAAACCGAACAATTGGATTGAAGACAACCACAATTGACAAAATCCTCCTATACTAGTAGTATCACCAATTCACCATTAACCAACTTCCTCCAATTCTGACAAAAGCCCATAGCATGCATAACAAAGGAAGCTGCTGCAAAAAGGAACAGATACTCGTCAACATCTAAAACCTAATAGAATTCTACTTCCTAGCTCCCCAAAAGAAAACCCCCCTACCCTAATAGAATTCAGCTTCCTAGCTCCCCAAAAGAAAACCCAACCCCTTCCTTGCTTTCACCACACCTGCACATAAACATATACCTTGTCATCCAGACCTGCACACATTCAGTACCTCTCTCACTTGTTCAACTTGCAACGACTTGTGCTGCACGAACAGCTGCAACTGAGCCCTTTTCAGCTGATTCCACCTAGACTCCCAATCCTTCAATTTTGCCTCATCAATATTTCCGACCTCATTCATAAAAACCTTTCTCACTTTCTCCTCAACTGATTGCCCTGTCATGGATGCTATTACAGAAGGATACTTCTCACACAACTTCTTCTTCTTCTTCTTCTCCTCCTCTTCCATCTCTCCTTCCTTGACTTCTTTTCCTTGTTCAACCTGGGCAGCAACCGTTTTGGCTTCTCCATTCTCCGGGCGGCTGTTGTTTGAGACCCTCCTTGGCTTCTTGGCACTGGGGGCAAGGCTGCCACTAGGTTGATGCTTAGGCAAAGCTAGGGTAACCCCAACACGAGGACCAATCTTGCTCTTCTTACTACTCTTCTGACTCTCAGGCCCCCAGATCTTCCTAGCCAGCTTAAGAGATTTCTGTTCATGTGGCTTAGAGAACACAGGGGAATCACCATCGTCCTTGCTCTGATACTTGACCTTCAACCTCCTCACTTTGGTCACCAGGGCGGTCTTGGAGACATTGTGCTGGAGCGATTTCTGGATGTAATCGAGAAAAGCGTCCATGTCAGAAGAGGGATCGGAACCCCTTTCAGATTTGTACCGGATCATTCCGTTAAGGAGCGCAATCTCGTCGCTCTCGCTCCAACGGCCCTGGGCGCCTTTTCTCACGTCCTCCCCTTCTTCTTCTTGTTCTTGTTCTTGTTCTTCTTCTTCTTCTTCTTCTTCTTCTTCTTCTTCTTCATTCCCGCCACTGATGCCAGCAGATTTCTTCTTGCCGGCCGCAGCTTCGGGATCGATTGAGGCCGCGGGGGTGGGCTTCTTGATCATGGTGGGCGTGACGGGCTTCACCTGAAAGGCGGAAGCCGAAGGAGAAGACCGATCCGAACTGGATTCCGGCTCGGAGTCGGAAGAGTTCGATGCATGCTTCCCCTGATTGGCAGCAGCAGCAGAGGACGTGTTGTTGTCATCGGAGGACTCGGTTTCCTCTTCGCTTCCCTCCTCGTCTTCTTCTTCCTCCTCTGACTTCTGCGGCGGCGGGTTCTCCTCCGCTGCGCGCTTCTTCGCCATTTTTTCGAATTGAAACTGGGAGTGGGAAGGGTTTTGAGATAGGTGAATTTTGGAGATACGGTGAGGGATGAAATTGGTAGGGTTAGGAGTTTGAATATATTATTCGAAGGAAAGGCTAGGGTTTCGGGCCCTTCTTCGCTCAGCCCTGTCCTTTGAGTGTCCTTCTTGGGTGAATAAAAACAAATTTCCTCTTTTTTTTTTTTTATCATAGTCAGATGAAATAGTAGACAGATATGATTACAAAGAGTAAAATAAACGTCAGTCGATACTAATCGATCTGGCGATGAAAGAGCCCTTTATGCCACTAAATGGGCAGCTCTGTTAGTTCCCTAGGAAAATAGCGAAAAAACACTAAAATCCATAAAAAGGATATGGCTCACTCTGTCAAGACCAAACCGTTAAGGTGATCGAACCACGTGTCTTTTGCCCAAGCTTAAACATCCATTATGTCAATCCACAAGGCAAAGAAACGACTTCTCATTCTTCCTTCCTTCTTTGACCAAGGAGTTCCATGCCAGATACACATGCTGACATGTCCACCTGCAGAAAAAACAAAGGAAAAGGAAGCCACAAGCAAAAAGCTCAAGAAGCCCAACCGATACTAGGGCTGGGAAAACGGTTGGCGGTTTGCGGTTAAACCGACAACCGTACCGAAACCGTGCGGTTATTGGTTAACCGCAAACCGCATATTTGGCCTATTTTGCGGTCGCGGTTGGAGATATGGCATGTTTTGCGGTTTGCGGTTTAACCGCAACCGAAACCGCAAATCCATATAACCGCAAAGCTAACCGCGAAACCAGACCCAGCCCATAATTCACCCCCAGCCCAGCCCATAATTGACCCCATCCCAGCCAGCAGCCCAAACCCAACCCGGCCCTCCCCACTTCTCCCTGCCGACGCCGTCGTTTACTCGTTTTGAGTGAATTATGATTTGAACTTTGAAGAAACAAAAATCAAAACCCTTCGTTAATTCGTTTCGTTTCGTCCCTTCCCAGTTCCCACCGGAAACTGAAGTCTGAAAACCAAAACCCTTCGGAGCTTCGACCCTTCATCTTTCCGCTGCGCCTTTGCCATCCGGTCGTCGTCGTCCCTGGCCGTCCGGCGTTCCCCTGCGACGGTGTTCCTCTCCTGCTGCCGTCCCTGGCCCGTTGGCCGAGTGGCCGTCCGTCTTCAAGTAATCAAGTGCTGTGTTTTTTTTTCCATGATTTTTTTGCGGTTAGTTCGCGGTTAATTGTCGGTTAGAGTGCTAAATGCGGTTTCATATGGTGTTTCGATTGTTGCGGTTTTCACAACCATAAACCGCGGTTCACCGCTAACCGCGTTCTGCGGTTTTTGGTTAACCGCTAACCGTTGCGGTCGCAGTTGGCCAATATGGGTGTTTTGCGGTTGCAGTTAACCGCAAATTGCGGTGCAGTTAACCGCAACCGCACCGTTTCCCACCCCTAACCGATACTGGACAAAGGCTATAGGCCACGTGACAAGACATCATCACTTCTGATTTATCCAATTGCGGGATACTAATCCGGTCCACCGCTTGCTTCACTTTTAAATGAGGATAAGAGCAACAACTCATTGCCAGACGTCAGTGAACAAGCAGGGGAAAGCAAACAGGACGTGGACACCTCCCGGACGGAGAAAAAGATAGACGCAGAGGAAGGACACCACGACAGCTCCGACAAGGCCTCACCGGACTGGACACTCCACGGAGAAAAGATGCTAACTCGGGATGGGGCTTTGAACTGCTTAACCTGCACCATCAAATCAACTGCAGACAGAACCAAACAGAACAGAGATAAAAAAAACCTCACAAGAAAGAGTTACTGAATGGAATTAAAAACTTTATTGATCACGGCCGGTAGTTGAGACTTGAGAACCCATTCTCCAATCTTCATACTCTCTCTGCAGCGCCGCCGAGGATTCACACTTTTGCTTAGGTATCACCAACTCAACGCAAAAATCCGACTCAGATCTGAAAAAGACGAATAGTGAGTTGAGTAACCGATAATTGCATGGTTGCCTGCAGTAAATAGAGACCCGAAATTAAAGAAATTGAAGAAGACTCTAATAAGAAACTAAAATTGCAGCTAAAGAATTAAGAGAGAAGATAGGCCGGAGAGCGATTGGGGAGCAGTTGAGAAGCTGAGTGGTCGTTCTTTGGAGAGGTGGCGTTTGGATTGCAGGGGTTTGAAAGAATCGGAAAAAGACCCGAACTTTACGGACCCAATCGCGGGTTTTCCAGATACGGCGGAGCTTCGGGTTCTGGGTCTTGTTGATCTGGCGCTGGATGAGGGTGTCGACGCCGGAGTAGTTGCAGGGTCGGAGGAGGTGTCGGCGACGCAGACGTCTTGGAGCATGTCGGGATCGGAGGCGAAGCAAGCGGCGGAGACGGCGGAGAAGACGAGAGACGGTCGGAGGCGAATCGCGGATTTTCCTCCAACTTGGTTATTTCAATTTGGACGAGAAGTATTTATTCAAAATTTCAAATTGTGCGAGTGGTTGTAAAAACGGACGGTTGGGAATTAATGAGGGGTGGGGAAAACATACCAATTGAGTAATTTAGTTTTTAAATTTGAATTGGATACTTTAATTTTTAATTGGAAAATTTATGATTAATATTTTAATATCAATTTTACAGGTTGACTTTATATATGTTAATTTTATTATACATTTGATTCAAGCACAAATTATTATACATTATATATTTTTTAGATGAGACTTATATAATCTATATATATATATATAGAGGTTAGTGAGTTTAGCTAATGAGTCAAGTAAAATATCAATTTATAAACAACCATTAACCCTCAACCCACTTGCTCGATCGGGTGAACGAACTAAATTGGATTGACAATTTTAGTTACAACCGAGCCGGGTATGAATCGGTATAGTGAATGGTTCACACTTTATTGGTCTAATCAGTGTATGACTTTTCTTGTGTAAATCAGTGCTAGATTTAAAAAAACCGTCGTATATAAATAATAATATTATAAGTAATACGCACGTGATAACACAGTAAATCATAAATTTATAATAGAGTTGGTTAGTCTTAAACAAACTTAAAGGATGAGTAAAAAAGTCTAAACCAATATAAATCACATTGTTCCCAGAATAAAAACATCGAACAAGGGTCTAGGCATGAAATAATATTAGAATAGTCCCAATTATTAAGTTCTTCATTTTACACTAAATTCAAATTATGCACATGTCACATCTAACTTAGATGTGATATGTGGATCTAACACTATCCCTATGTTTGGCCGTGCTTTTAGAAGTGCTTTTCGGGTTCAAAAGTTGAAGCAGAGCTAAACACCTGTAAAAGCTCGGCTTTTAAAAAGCCAAAAAGCACTTTTGTATAACATAAAAGCAGAAACTCCGATTTGGAGCTTCTGCGAAAAGATGTTTTGAAAATACAAGATTATCCTTACCATATTTAATTTTATTTCAGAAAATATAATTTTCCTTCATTTATATCATTTTAAAAATAAAATAAATTATAAAATCATATTATTTAATATAAAAGAAATCTAACAAGATCCATTTTGACTACTTTTTATTGTTTAGAATTTTTATTCATATTTTATATTAAGTCCTTTATAGTCATTTTACACAACCTCTTATATTAAAAAACACTTCTAATAGTTTTACAGCCAAACACTCAACTGCTTTTTTTTAAAAGTACTTATCTAAAAGCTCCAGCCAGAAGCTGTTTCTGCAAAAGCTACAGCATGACCAAACTAAGCTATAAAATATTTGAATGTTTAACGAATTCTTAAGACTTAAGAAAGAAATACTCTAATATGTCCATTTAATTAATGCAAAAAATAATAAAATTTAAGCCACGCGAGAGTCTATAAAGGGAAGGGGGAAATTCCTTGTAATCCCCAACGCGGATTGAGACAAACTAAAAATAATTAGGAAAATTAAAAATTCCAAGTTTTAGGTGGAGGAATTTTTTTTTTGTTGACAAAGGGCATTGCTCTTCCATTACTTGTGGCAGAAGCCAAGGGGTTACAAAAGAGGGGAAACAACATCAAGGACCTGAATCCAGTGAGTAGGCAACAGGTTTTTTGCTCGTGATCGAGCAACCCAGTTGGCTTTCGAATTAAACTTCCTTTTGATGTGGCTGATCTTGATCATTGGGTGTTCCTCGATAGTCTTCTTGATGTTGCCGAGCCACGCTGCCGCTCGCCAAGGCCAACTCTTATGGTGCCCCTGGATCGCGTGGATCAAGCCAAGGCAATCAGAGCGAACCAAGCATGGCCTGTGGAGGTTGACAGCAAGGAGGGTTCCCTCCAGTAACGCTTTTGCTTCTGCTTCAAGAGGGGGGAAACAATGCAGGGACTCAGCTTTCCCATCACAAACTTGACCATGAGCATTCGTGACAACGACGCCATAAGCCGCCTCCTATGAGTCGTCAAAGAACAAACCATCACAATGTATCTCAAAGTCATGAGTACTTGACCGTGGAGGAGATTGATCCGGGGGTGGAGCTAGCTGAGGAAGGGGTGGAAGTAAGGGCAATTTCCTGGGGCAGGTGATCCACTGGTGGAAGGCAACGTCTGCCAAAGAAATCGTGGATGGGGGCCAGGGGGCTTTGTTCCTGAAAATGTGCTCATTTCTCGTTCTCCTTGTCTGCCACATGAGGAAGACAATCTTTTGAATCGAGCATAAGGGGTACCTAGCAATCAGGGAGTCGAGCCACTCCAGGATGGGGGTGAGTGTGGGGGGGGGGGGGAACTGCAAGGGAAGACCACTCTTGCATCCACCCTGCTGCCGCATGGGGGCAGGAGAAGAGGATGTGGTGGATCGACTCTGTTGGCGCCGCACAAAGAGGGCAGGCCTTGGTCGTAGAGCAATTTCTAGAGTGCAGATTTTCTTTCGACTCTAGGGCTCCTCTCGTGCACTTCCACACAAAGAACTTCAGCTTCGGAGGGAGGGACAGGCTCCAAAGCCACTTCCATCTCTCTTTATTTGATGTTGATGTGGTCTGTTGACCTTATTCCCTACGAAGTTAGTTATGAAAGAGATGGAAAGCCGATTTCACTGAAAAGGAGCCATTTTCTGTAAATCTCCAAGCCTAGAAATCCTCAAGGGATTCAGGGCCAATGGGGGTGGCAGCAACCTGCCTCGAATCC